TGGGAAAAGGAAAATATATATATATATATATATACACACACACACAAGACAATTAAGATAGTTGTATTACCAATCTCTATTAGCTCACTGAAAAGAAATGTTTGTGCTTATAACATCTGATCAATTTCTCATGCCTATATCTTATAATCTACATTGCTTGTTACCTTCAAAGTAGTTACTTTATCTTGGATTGAAATTTTGCATCATTGTGGTTTTTAGTGGTTTTTCTCTTTAAATTAAAAATGAAGTTAAATTTTAAATGTCAAACCAGATTTTATGCTAATCATGCAAATTACAGCTTTTTATCATTCTGTCTTCCTAAAAATGTAGTAATTGGGAATTGGAGAGAGTTAAGTTCAAACCCTCTCATTACCACTTACTAGCTATGTTATCTTTGTGAGTCACTGCTTTTAAGATTCTATTTTTTGAGACAGGGTCTCGCTAGGTGGGTCAGACTGGCCTTAAACTTACTATGTAGCTCAGGCTGGCCTTAAACTTGAAGCAATCTTCCCCGGTTGGGATTATAGGTGCATGCCACCATGTCCGGCAAGTGCTGCTTTTTAAACCTGTTTGTTCACCTTTGGGTAGAGATAAATACCTACTTTTGCAGCACTATTATGAGCATTAGAAATATCATGTGCAAAAAACTCAAATTAAAACAAATCAAAAAGCTGGGGATGGTGGCACATGCCTATCATCTCAGCACCTGGGAGGTGGAGGCAGGAGGACTGCCATGAGTTTGAAGCCAGCTTGGACTACACAGTGAGCTCAAGGCCAGTCTGAACTACATAGTAAGACCCTGTCACACAAAAAAAATCAATCAAACACCATAAAAAGAAACATCATACACAAGGCTGACTTAGCACACTGCCAGGTATGGAAGAGGTGATACTATAGTACAGTACCTGTTCTGGATAATTTGATGAACACGAGGTTACTGATTGATGTAGGGTAATTTCCCCCCTGCTCCCTGCAATTACTCCAGATACTTTCCCTTCTTTTGGGGGTCTTTTCGAAAAAGTAATCTTTATATCATTTTTCTTATTCTTAGGAGGCTGTCATTTACCACCGCTGCCACTGAGACTGATTCTAAGAGTAACTTCTATTTCCTTTCTTCTGATGTTATACACTGGAAATCAAATGACCAAACTGTCAGTGTCTAAATTAAGAATAAAAAAGGTTGTGCAGGAGGGTAAGTGATTCTTTCCAGGGGAAGTACATAGTCCCTATCAGACTATCACAACACAGTCCGATAGCCGATCTCAAATGATTTAAATCAGTGATGGCAAACCTTTTAGAGACAAGTGCTCAAGCGCAACCCAAAACCCACTTATTTCTCTCAAAATACCAAACTGCAATTAAACCAGAATGCTATGGTTTTAGTTTAGAGAAAACAATTCATACCTTAACATGTTTTGTCTTAAAAGAAAAACAAATAACATGCATGCCATAGGTTTGCCGCCACTGATTTAAATTATTTTCATGATCCTGAACACATTCTATATAACCAAGAGAACCAAATAAACAGGTAAGTGAGCTATTACTGTATAGTTTAGAAAGAAAACTTGTAATTCTAGAGCTAATTATATGACATTGGAGGGCTGTATCTTAGGAACACATTAGGAACTAGAAGGAATGAATATTTATTTATCCATTATTCTTACTGGGAAAACCTTGTAAGTTACCAATTTAATTGTCAAGGTGGTTAGGAAATTAACAGGTATTGAGCATCTATTATGTGGTAGGACCCCTGTACATATCACTTCAGTGCTCAAACTGCTCTGAGAAGTAAGAATTATAATACCTATTTATAGTGATGTTTAGGAAGGCTAAAGTAACTTACTCAAGAAGTGCCCCAAACAGAATTTACACTACAAGTAATTTTTAAAAATTACTACAGTAAAAGACACATTGTCATTAATACTCACTTCGAAACACTTATCCCCTTTTTGGACAGTTGCAGCGGCTGCTGCACTGGCAGCTTGAGTCCAAATCCAGGCCAAAATGCCACAGTACCAGACCTGGGAGGAGTTCAGTCATGCGGCAGAGAAACTCTACCTCGCGGACCCGATGAAGGCAGGAGTGGTTCTCAGATATAGGCACGCTAATGGGAATTTGTGTATTAAAGTAACCGATGATTTAGCTTGTTTGGTGTACAGAACAGATCAAGCTCAAGATGTGAAGAAGACTGAGAAGTTCCACAGTCAGCCGACGCGACTCATAGTAGCCAAGGAGTCCCGCAGTGTTACCATGGAAACAGGCTGACAGTTTGAAATGACTGAAAGGAAGATTCTGTTTGTCCTGTTTGTAGGAAGTAATATCTTTTGAAATTGATAAAGTATTGAAACAGAAAATACTTTATGTAACTAGGTGGGCTATTCAAAAGTCAAGAGATCATTTCTTGTATTTCCTTTTTAATGCTTATCTTAGAGCTGTAGGAACATAAATGCTTTCAGTTAGAGAACCATTATTTTTTTGGAAATTGAACAAGAAATGCATCTATCTTAGAAACTTTTTGCAGAAACTATTTGATGTTGGGCAGAATGTATAATTATTTCTCTGGTAAATATGTATCAGTAATTTTAAAATAAAATACCAAGAAAAGCCAGTTCTTACATTTAGTTCATCTGCCTTTAAGAGAAAGTTAAATGTAACCATTTTGGTGGACTGTTGTATTTCTTTTGGAGCATAAACTTTGCACCGTTAATAACCAATAAATATATATGGTAACTAGGATTAACTGCACAGTATTAACCTGTTTTTTTTAAAACCAGAAGGTGTATTTAGTTGCTAATAGTGTAGTCTCAATTATCTCTAAAAATAGTTAGTAACAGGTGTGCTTTACCTTAAGCTTTCCCAAATTAAACTCTGCAATGACTGACTGTGGATCTGCTTTTTAGTGATGACAAACAGTAGCAGTCATCTGAACGCATGGGCAGAATTATGATTACTGTGGTGGACTGAACCACCATGTGACAGATATTTACATGCTTCCCATCTGTAGTTTCTCAGAAGGACTGCAGAATATTCCAGCTGTGAAATCTTTGCACTCTATGGTACCTGCCTGTTTTTCCCTGTAACTAAGATGTTAAGGATGACTATCACAACTATTATATTTATCCTGCATCTGTAATCTGATTTTACTATCCAAAGGTAATGCTCACAGGTGGATTGCTCAAAGTGAAATGCAGGCACTGCATCAAAATATTTTTTTGTAGTGAATAACATTGTAGCTTGGAAAGTTACATTAGCCATGAGAATTTTGACATGCAGTTCAATTCTGACACGGCCTTGAACTCACTTTGTAGCTCAGGCTGGCCTCAAACACACAGTGATCCTCCTGCCTCAGCCTCCCAAGTGCTGGGATGACAGGCGTGTATCACCATTATCAGCCTGACCCATTTCAAAGCTCAGTGTTCTTTAAGGTGACTTGTAGGATGAACCTGACCTCCCTTTTGCACAAAAACTTACTTCTTCAGCATCAGCAATAAATAATGAGAAAGTGAATAGAAAATAGAATACTATTCAAAATCACAGCTATATATAGTAAGTACTTAGAAATTAATTTTAATTAAATGCTTCTATGGAAAAAAAGAGAATTCTGCTAACACATAAAGAAAGAGACCTGAATAAATGCAAAATGTAAACTATGATATTCGGATGGGAATATACACCATCTGAAAGAGGTCAATATTCCCCAAGTTAATCTATAAATTGAATGCAAGGTCAAAAAAGCCAACAATATTTTGGTGACACTGAACTGATTCTAAATTATAAACAAAAGTTCACAAGTTGCAAGAATAGGTAGCACGATTCTGAAACAAGAAGTTAAGGATGAAGATTTGTCCTAACTGATATTAAAGCAAGTTATAAACTTCTAATAATTAAAAGAATGAGATACTGATTAAGGATCAAACAGGAAATAGAACAAAATAGAATCCAGGAATAGATTCATGTATATATAGGAACCTGGTACAGGAGAAGATGATAACAGAAATCAATGGAAAAAGAAGGTATCATTTAACTAGTAAGTGGAACTAGGAAACTGACTTATTAAAGAAAATGTGATCTTTTTCTCAGCATATTCAGAATAAATACCCATTATATTATTTCTTGACATGGAAAACACTATAAAATTATAAGAAAATGTAGAAAAGTATCTTTATGATCCAGGGATAGGGGATAATTTATTAAATAAGACCACAAAGTACATATCACCAAGGTAAATCAATGGGTTTAACAAAATAAAACCCAGCTGGACATGGCGGCACACGTCTGTAATCCCCGCACTTGGGAGGCTGAGGCAGGAGGATTGCCAGCCTGAACTGCACAGTGAGACCCTGCCTCAAAAACACACACACAAAAAGGAAAGAAATAAAGAAAAATTAAACCCAGTACTGAAAAAATAAAAAAGGGTATTTCTAGCTAGGCTCAGTGGTCCTTGCCTATAGTCCCAGTTACTCAAGAGATGAGGCAGGAGGATTGCTATCCTGTGCAACTAAGTGACACACTGTCTCAAAATTAAAAGGGTTAAGGATGTAGCTCAGTGGTACACAGGGTGTAGTATATGTAAGGCTCTGAGTTCAATCCCTAGTACTGAAAAAAACCTCCAAACCGAAACAAAAAACCCGATCAAACAACAACCCACAATTATAGAACTGTGTCTGAATATACACGTCTAAATAAACATATGAAAGATGGCTTAAGAAGACACACATCACGTATCCAAGAGTGGATGACTAGATGTGGAAAGGAGAAGGAAACTGGATTGAGGACTGAGTCAGACAAAAACAAATGAAGGGTCATGCGTGGACTGATGACAAAGGATCATAACTGAAGAGATATCTCAATAATTATTTGCAATGTTTGAGGTCTAAGCCAAATATAAAACAAAAATCTCTCCTTCCTGAAATACCATAAAAACACCTGTTTAAAGGAAATGTCAAAAAAGCAAAAGATATAGGAACTAGTAATGGTAACCATCCCGTCACATGGCTTACCGGAGAACACAGCACATAAGCAGCAGATGGGTAGGGACATTAGCTGGATTGAGCATACTGGGTGTGTCTGACTTCATACACGCCAGGAAAGCCCGCATCCTTCTGTTCTTGTCCTCAACTGCTTTGCCCAGCCAGAGCTTCTTGAGGTTTGGGCAGGTCCATTCCCGAAATGTCAGGGCAGACACCAGCTCAGGAGTTTGAGGTGACTTCCCTTTATAGGCAGACCATTCTTTAAGAATCACTGAAGGAACTAGAAAACAAAAATTGAGAAAAAATAGGCTGTAGAACATCTGACCATTTCTACAGCTAGCTACCATTAACAGGATCTATCACATTTCAGTATCTTCCATTTTTTTGAGAAAGAGAGGGTCTCACTATGTAGCCCAGGCATGCCTCAAACTCATGGCGATAGTCCTGCCTCAGCCTCCTGAGTGCTGGGATTATAGGTGTGTGCCACCACATCTGGCTTCTTCTAAGTTTTTGTTATAATTTTTATCATTAGCAGTAGTAACATCAGTAGCAAGCATTTATTAGGTGGTGGAATATGCTAAATATTTTGCATATATTATCTCATTTAATTCTTTAAAAAAAAAACCCAGAGATGGACCTATTATGATGACATTATTACAAAACAGTATTTACTTTTCAGAAAAAAATCAAAATCCAACATCACACAGTTTGTAATTACATTGAATTTAAGTAGATATACCAGGTTAGACAAAGAAAGAAGTCTAAGGAAGAAGTATATGAATAGTTGATTTCATGACAGACTAAGGGATTTCATAAAATTCTCAAAAAAAAAATGTTGGGCATGGTTGATGCATGCCTACAATCCTAGTTACTCAGGAGGCTGAAGCAAGAAGATCACTTCAGCCCAGAAATTTGGGGCCAGCTCAGGCAATGTAGCTAGACTTTATCTCAGAAAAAAAAAAAAAACAAAAACCAAAAACACAGAACAATAAACAATCCCCCCAACCAAACAGTTTTTATTTTATTTTATCTTTTTGAGACAGGGTCTCACTATGCAGTTCAGGTTGGCCTTGAGCTCACTTTGTAGCCCAGGCTGGTCTTGAACTCGCAATGATCCTCCTGCTTCAGTCTCCTGAGTGCTAGGATTACAGGCATGTGCCACCACACCTGGCCTCAAACAGTTTTAGATTTAAAAAGATAACAGACCAGAAAAATATGGCTTCTGTCTACATCTCAGGCTTCTAAACTATGGTGATTGAACTTATAAAACAGTGAACCTACCAGGTATGGTGGTGCATGCCTGCAATCCCAGCACTCAGGCAGCTCAGGCAGGAGGATCACTGAGTTCAAGGCCAGCCTGGACTACATAATGAGTTCAAGGCCTGTCTGAACTACATAGTGAGACCCTGCCTCAAAAAAAAGTAGTCTCCTTCCCCATTTAAATTTTGACACAAGGCCTCACTAAATTGGCCATGCTGGCCTCAAACTCATGATCTCCTCAAGTGGCTGGAATTACAGACGTGTGCCATCATATTCAGCTTTTTAGTCTCTTTCATTTCAGATGCCTACAGTCTACTCAGTCACCCAAACTAGAGATTTAGTAATCATGCCAGAGTCCTCTTTCTCCTTAACCTTCAAAACACCTGGTGTTTACCAAGGTCCTGCTGATTCTAACCCAGTCTCCCTTCCACCTGTCTCCTCTTCTCCAAAACAACAAACAATGTAATGTCCAGACAGCACTTTTCACCTGACAGGAGTGTCCAGGAAGTTTGTTCCTGCCTTTACCCTATCTTATCCTTCTCACACCCATGCTCCACAATCACCAGAGTGTTCTTTAAACATTTTTTTTGCAGTGCTGGGGAGCAAAACTCAGAGCTCATGCATGCTTGGCTGAATGCTCTATCACTAAATTCTATCCAGTGCCAAAGTGCTCTTTTGTAAATAATCTTCTTTGGCTGAAATCATTATAGATTCATAAGGAGCTGCAAAAACAGGAAGAGGCCCTGTGTATATATTACTTAGTTTGCTCTAACAGTCGTATCTTAAATAATTATGACACCAAAGCTCAGGAACCGATATTGTAACAATATGTGTGTGTAGTCCTACCATATCTCCTTGACAGTAAAACCTATCCAGAAAATAAGCCCTAGCATGATTTTTCAGGATGCTTGTAACATAAGCCATACCCCAAAAATAAGCCCCAGTTAAGATCGTCAGCCAGATGGACGCATTTAGTACATGCACTGCAACACATGATGGACATATTAAATTACAAAGTATAATTAAATATAAATAATAATGACAATACTTAAATGGTAATAGAAATTATAATTAAGCATTTGTAAATACCCAAGTGGGTGCCTTTGAATGAGAGGTAAGTGCCTACATAAACGGATGAACTCAAGATGTATTGCCAAATGACCCATCAGAGTACAGACACAATGCATAAATAACATGCACATTTGATAATGAACAGACATGGCTGTGTCTAATATGAATCTTCATCATTTAATACATCGTGTGTTGTAACTGATGTACTTAGAGCACTCATGTGAAATAAATATTTTCTGAATTTTGGTGCCTACAATTTTTTGTCCCTTTTGTGTGGACCGTCATTCTTGTTGCCACTCCTGTCTCCTAAGTCTTCAATGAAAACTCAACAAAATGGAACCTGTGAAGCCTAGCCTGCAAGAGGCTGTGACTTGCGTGAAGAATTCATTTGTGAAAATTGCTGACACTACAAGCAAGATACACAGATGAGAAGGGCTTGTTTAGGGAGAGTTGTACTGCTGGACATGAGAGATTGGGGCCAATGGTTCTACAGGAAGTAGAGTCGTAAGAAATTCAGGCCAGAATTAGGGGACTGGAAAGTTATGACAATGTTCCAGAAAAAGATGACACAACTGTATTGGAAAAAAATTTCTATACATAAATAAATGTTGACTGTTGTACTGAATAGATGTAGACTGCTCTACATGAAAAAAAGACATCCCCTGAAAATAAGCCCTACTACATCTTTTGAAGCAAAATAATTTAAGACCTGGCCTTAAATTTTCAGGGAAATAGGGTATGTCACATTGATCCATGTAGCTACAATGCAATCAATACATAGGACTGGCTGGGCACGGTGACACTGTAATCCCAGCCATCAGAGGCTTAGGCAGGAAGACTTTGAGTTTCAGGCCAGCCTGGGTTACATAGCACATTCAAGGGTTGCATAGTGAGACCCAGACTAGAATAGACAGACTAGACTAGACTAAGACAGAGAACTAGCTGAGTGCAGGGATGCATGCCTGTAATCCCAGCTACTTGAAAGGCTGAGATGGGAGGACTGGTTGAGTTTAACAAACTTGAGACCAGCCTAGGTAGCTAAAGAGCAGAGGAACTTCTCCTCAAAAAAAAAAAAAAGATATAAAATTCCATAGCCACAAGATTTCTAGTGTGCTGCACTTTATAGTCACACCAAATACCTTCCAGCACCATCCATACTCATGACAATATTGTTCTACATTTGTATAATTTTGTCATTTTGAAAATGTTATAAAAATGGAAGCAGACAGTATATGATTTTGTGATATGCATTTTCATACAGAATTATGCCCTTGAAGGCTGGGTCTGCTGGTGCCCATCTCTAATCCCAGCATTTCAGAGGCTGAGGCACAGGGATCGCTGTGAGTTCAAGTTTGGCCTGGGCTACATAGTAAGTTGAAGGCCAGCCGGAACTTCACAATGAGGCTCTGTCTCCTAAGGGGGAAAAAGCCCTTGCGATCTATTCATGTTGCTGAATCAACAGCTCATATTTTAGCACTGATGTGCCATAGTTTAACCATTCACTTACTGAAGGATATAAAGTTTGGGGCTATTAAGAATAAAGCTATTAAGCATACACGAGGCCCTAGATTCAATCCTCAGTGTTACCCAAAAACTATATGTGTGTGTGTGTGTGTATATATATATACACACACACATATATATAAACAAATAAATAAATAAATAAAATAAAGCTTTTGTAGAGTGTTTTTCTAGTATGCACAAGGCCCTGGACTTGACCCTCAGTGAATACACACAAAGAATAAAAGGCTGTCTCATGAACAAGTTTCTACAGAAAAATAAGCCTTCATTTCCCTGGAATAAATAACCAAGGATGTAAGTGCTGGGATGTGTAGTAAGTCTATTTTCAGTTCTGACAGACACTGATAAATTCCTTTCCGAACTGGCAAGGCCTTTTTACTGTACATTCTCACCAGCAATTTATGGAAGATCTACGTTTCTCTGCACTCCCTCTGGCATTTGTTACTATTATCACTACTTTTCTCCTTAGCTATTTTGAGAGGTATGTAGTAAAATTTCATTGTGGTTTTAATTTTTATTTCTCTAATGATTGTTAGATGTTAAACATCATCTTACATTTTTATTTGCAGTATGTTTATCTGTGTTAGTGAAATGTCTGTGTATGATATCTGCTGAGAGATTTCTTTTTTCTTTCTTTTTTTTTTTTGGTTTTTGAGACAGTGTCTTACTGTGCAGTGCAGTGCAGCCCTTGAAGATGCTTATCTAGCCCAACTGGTCCCAAACTCATGGTGATCCTCGGGCCTCAGCCTTCGAAGTGCTGGGATTACAGGTGTGAGCCACCGTGCTTGGTTGATTTTCTCTAATTAGACTGTTTTTGTAATGTTCAGTTTTGAGAGGGGAAAGGGATTAAAAAAACAATCAAGATGTGTTAGGTACACATGTCAACTCCCCACAAGAATGTAATCATCATGTACTGCAAACATGTACTAATACAAAATATTGAAAAAATAATATTCGATTTTGAGATTTCTTTCTGCATTTTAGAATTACTATAGCAACATAATAAGTCTTACAATCAGGTTGAGTGACTGCTGGAAATAGGATCTTTCATAAATTGCTGGTGGGAATATAAAAAGGTACTGCCTGTCTGGAAGGTAATTTGTCTAGGCATGTGAACCTGTTTAACTATGAATTTACAGTTAATCCAGCACAATTAAAAATACTATCAATCCTATGAAGTAGTTTTGCAGATTTTTAAAGACTTAATTGGTTGTAGTTCTATAAGGTCATTTCTAGATTCCCAATTATAGTCTACTGATCTATATGTCAATATCTCCACTAATACAGTCTTAAATTAGCATAGCAACATAGTAAGTCTGAAAATTAGCTTCATTTTTTTTAGATTTTTTTTTAATACTGGGAATCAAACTCATGACCTCATGCTTGCCAAGCAGGCGCTATGCTGCTGAGCTATATCCCTGGCAAAAT